GCATAATAGACTGAATACACATGAGGAATGGATAATCCATTGTGCATTCCCTTGCACTGTTCTGACAATAGCTTCTTGGTCTGGTATAGGTTTCATGCTGTTGTTGTTGATTGTCGTTGAGTCACGCATGATTCATAGCAACTCTATGAACAAAAGACCTCAGGCCTTTCTATAACTATCTCTAAGTTCATCGAGTTTCCAGAGTCATGTGGTTTAGGATGTGGATGTCACTCCTGCAATTTAAATAAAATTCCTTTTCAGTCTCATTCTTCTATTACTCGCATTTAATCAAGATTACATGAAAAAAAAAAGATATTATCAAAAAACAAGCAAAAACAATGGAAACAACGGAAAGCAAGACTTTCTGCCAAACATAAACATATTTCTGTTTAGCAAATAGGAAGAGAAGATAAAACATTTCCATTTCTCTTCTCATATAACAGAATGTTCTATGCTTACTGTATTAGTTAACAAATTCAAGTCTGTTTATTTTGTTTGAAATTCCACTTCATCCATAAATTACAGCTTTGCACAATAACACCAGAAGGACAATATCACCATTGTTTGCTTTTACAATCATCTCAGCCTACAAAATTCTGTTCTATTGTACGCTTGCTGTCATCAAGCCATTGTTCTGTTCCCTCTTTCCTGGGTCTCTCTGCTAATATCATTCAAATTATTTAGACATCGAACAATGTTTTTGCTATCAGTGCAGACTTCTTTGGAACTGGAGCCCCGGTGTGATGACCAAATAACCCTTGACTATCTTTACACAAGTCATTATTTCTCCCAGGCCTTCAGGAAGCTGAACTGCAGCGTTTGCAATGGGGAGGGGAGGGTGTCTCCTGCCGAAGCTGGTTTGTTCCATTGGACAAAGGGCCTTTTCTGCCTGTCTTTCTCTTTGGGCACATGCACAATGCAGGGGTTCAGGGGAAGGGAGGATAAGGCAGATCCTTTATAGTAATGATCCTCTAACTTTCTAGAGTTAGAAATTTTTTTGGATGTTATAAAATACATTTGAGTTTAATCCCTTCCCCCCCCAATTGCAAACAACTGCAAACCCATGAAAACCCACTAAAATATAAAAAGTTAATCTCTCTCACTCTCCCTAAACTAAAAGTCCATTGCAGTCTGTTTGATTCAAACGTTATGAGTTCCCCAGGCTAGAACTATCCCACAGCTTCCCAAGGTTGTGATCTTTATGAAAGTGGACCATTACAGCTTTGTCCTAGTGAGGGAGTTGGAGCAGCTGATGGGCCAGTTAGAAGCCTGGCAAGACTCTGCTT